CCCCAAAACCCCAAAACCCCAAAACCCCAAAACCCCAAAACCCCATTTATTCCTTAAATTTTTGATAAAAATTTATAATCCTAAAATGGAGACCCACGATCGTCAGCTAGAACTACAGAACAGGAAGTACAGCAAGAGCAAAAGTAAGTTCCCATTAGTTTAAGCCCGAACAGTCGTTAGTCATGAAGGCGATGAAAATTTGGACTGACAAGAAGAACTTTACCAAACCTAACATATTATTAAAACTATTCGTTTTGGGGAATGACTACTAGATTATTTAACTATAGAGAAAGTCAAGAAAGTTAAAAGAAAGAAGACCAAAGCTGAATACCCAGTGCTTGTGAAGAAAACTCCGAGTGAGATAGCGGAAGAAGAGAGATCAGCATTTGATGATGATCCTCCTTTTGTTACAGAGACTGAATTTGCAACTTATAGACAGATGATATCCTCTAGAGGAGCTGAGAATCGATACCAACATAACTTTGAAGAGCCTCAATATTATTACGACGAACAAAGATTCCTTGAAGAATCTGATAACTTTAAAGTCAAGAAGAAACATAAGAAAGAAAAGAAGCACAAATAAAGATAAAAAGGGTAGAAAGATCAAAAAGTTGCAAAGCCATGACCAAAATATTGGGTCACTAGGCCTCAAAAGGAAAGCTACAATTATTGTAAGTAAGAAGATAGTCAGACAGGCTACTGAGCGGGGCCAAACTTTGAAGGAATATATCAGGGCAAACAATTTGCAACTAGTTGATCCAGATGATAATGATATACAAAGGCTCAAAGCCAGTTCTTCAAAGAAGAAATCTTTAAGACCTAAAACTCAACCTGCAAAATTCAAATCAAGATGGTATGAAGAAGAGAAATCATGGAACCAAGAAAGCTTTGATTCTTATCGTAAATAAAAACAGTAGAGTCTTGTCCTCTGCTGAAGGAAATCCAGCTATGCAAAGAAGAAGCTCGCTAGACCAGCAGAAAATTTATAAGCAATTTACCTTAAAGCCTAAGAAAAAGTTGAAAAGAACCAATACCGCTATGAGCGAGGTGGCCAAAAAGCTTAAAGATGTTGAAGTGGTTCAAAAGAGAAAGCAGAAGAAAAAGATAAAAATCCCTTGGAGCAATATCACCACCAACGACATTCATATTTTTATATTCCTCGTAATCCTTCTCATCTTTGGAGTTATTCTCTCTATTGCGGAGTTTATGGATTACTCTAGTTCTTTCTGAAATCAAGCGAAGGATCAGATTCCAGAACTATGGACCTACACTGAGCTTGCTCTTACGACTATATTAAGGATTGGGATGATCCCAATAATAGGGGTTGACCTTATCTACAAGAAGAAGTCTCCAGTAAAGTTCATTTATCCGTTCTTGATCCCGACTATAATAACCTCTTCTGTCGCAAGCTCACATATTGGGATTAATGCATATGATTATGAGCTGTGAAGAGAAAGAAATTTCTTTTTTAACTTAAATTTTGCAGAAGCATACGTAATTGCTGTTTGAGTCATCCATATCTTCATGATAATAGTCTGAACTCTATCCTCAGCCGTATTATTAACCCCTGAAGGTAGAGATGATTATGAAGAAGTCCCTAATCCCGAAAATCACAGTAAACCAAGATATGTTAGAATTATGATATACTGAGGAGCTGGAACTGTGTTGGCATTTTTTGCACTCCAAGGATTATTCAGTCTTATTGTGTTCCTGGGCAGTTTTAAGAAATTTGTTCCCAGCATCTTTGTAGAAATTCTTACACCAATATCACTCGGGTGATTTTGAGTATTTCATCAATATCTTTCTAATAAGTAGATAATTTCAAATTATTCGTATTAAAAAGGGGTTTTGGGGTTTTGGGGTTTTGGGGTTTTGGGG